GCTGAAAGGAGACTATGTAGATAAATAAATCGCCACTTTTCCAAAATTTTCGTTTTTCTTTTGTAGGCTAAGTACTTATCGGACCGCCCTCGTATTAAATGTAACCGTTTATAAAAGAATGTTGCATATTTTGACCAGTTTGCGGATGGAAGTTTCTTTTTTAACCACATTTCCAAAAACGTCTGCGTATTGTCAAATATCGCTTATACACGTGTTCTATCATTATTTCGTCTTTTATATTTTGTGGCAGCCCATAAAATGGTCGTCTGTTCTAGCCAACAGTGGACGTTGTGTCATTGGTGGATTTAGAAGAGATTTGTTTGCACATTACAAATTTATTTTATTCGTTTTTTCATCGTCCGTGCATCAAGTATGCCATATTTAAAGTAACTAACTTCGCATAGAATTACACTTCGAATAGAAGATTGCGTCTATCAAAGGTTCACCAATCGTCAAATCGTTCAGATGTGCATCTCCAGACGTAAAACATTTTAACGAAAGGTGACGGTAGCCATTGCTTATTCAGGTCACTCTAGTGCCTCTATTGACTCTAGTGACATGAGTAAGATATAAATGTGGAACTTCTCAAAGAGTTATACTTCGAATAGAAGATTGCGACCATCGAAGGTTCATCAAATTGTCTTCTCAAATCGTTCAGTCGCGCTTCTCCAGACTGAAGACATTTTAAATGTGGAACATAAAACGTTTCATATTTTAACGAATAGTGACGGTAGCCATTGCTTATTCAGGTCATTCTAGTGACTCTAGTGGCCTGAGTAAGATATAAATGTGGAACTTCTCAAAGTGTTATACTTCGAATAGAAGATTGCGACCATCGAAGGTTCATCAATCGTCTTCCCAAATCGTTCAGCCGCAGATGTGCAGATGTAGAACATTTGAACTAAAGGTGACGCTAGCCATTGGTCGTTTCCCGAAAAATCGGTGAGAAACAGTGTCCTCAATTGGCGGTGAATCCCACCCCGAGCGTTCCTTCACCAAATCGACCGGTTTGCCACACTCGTCAACCTATAGATAGTAATACTGTGATTTGTTCGCCGCTATTAGTCCATATACGTGCCTGTGTATTTCCACGAGTTTCCCCACCCCTTATGCGTTCACCTGATCGAGACCGCGCGACATTGACGTCACGAACAAAATGGCGGCTAGTGGCGAAAAGTTCGCCGAAGCGGAGGAAAGCATACCTGATAACGGAAGCACGCAAAGGGGTGTAGGGATAGAACGAGTACGTTGTATCGAAAGAGAGAGGAGAGAGACTATAACGCCAGTCGCAATCTTCGTTGAACGGAAGACCAGGATGGTACCGAAAGGGGCGACCCAAGTCTCTCTCTCTCGCTCCTCCATATCGTCGGTACAGCCCTCCTCCGACCGGAGGGCAGAGCCCCTCCACCGAATGCTTTCCTTTCTCTCCGCACCATGAATTTCGCTCTGTTCCACTCCCACGTTGGCGTTCTCCGCTTCTCTCTCTCTCTCTCTCTCTGCAAGCACGCCGGTTCTAGAGAGAGGACACGCACACGCGCACGTACGGAGCACGTGGTTGGCCGGGTTCACCTGCACATGGGAGAAGGGGGGGACCAACGCCGGGCGTCCCGGCGGCAGCGCGGCACCTGCTCCTGCGTCGTGTTGTCTATTCGATAGAGCGGTAGAAGGTTGGCAAGCGCGTGAGGGAGGGAGGGGGCAGAGAGCGAGGGGAAGAGAGAATAGGGAGAAAGAGATTGTGCGAGCTCCGCGAAGGGAAGAAGGAGGGGGAAAGCTATTTCCACCTTTTAAAAACGTTCCAGAAGGCCCCTTATAGGCGGAGCTGCGCCAAGCGGACGCGCCACCATTGGCTATCTTAATGTCTAATATATCATGTCATAACGGCCAGGGAATTATTGTCCTTGTCCATGTTCGCGGACGCCTAGGCATTCACGGTTTCTCGTGTCCCTCGAGCCGTCCACCATCACCCCTACTGCACCCAGCGTGCGCGCTAGCAACGATTCCCGGTGATTATTTAAAATTGATATTTACGACGACACGAGGTCGCCACTTTACCAACGAGCATGCGCCCAGCTTATTTTTACAGTGTCTTTTCGACGACTCATGTCGCGGGGATTTATGCCACGTGGTCCCGCGAACCGAACGCTCCTACGATTTACCAGCGATGGCTTCCGGCGTGCGGCCTCTTTCGATCGTTTTACAAGTTTTTTTTTTTATATGTTATCAGATCGAGTGTCAATGTTTTTCTTTGAGTCTTCTTGGAATTTCAACTGTATATATAGTTTCTATTAGATTCACGGAACAATTTGACCAGTGTCAGATTTCATATTTAACACGTTCATTGCCAGACGAAAACCGTGCAATTTTCTGGAAGACTAAAATTTTGATTTTAAACCATTGTGAACTACATAACTTATAATTTGTTTCGGCATTTATTTTTGTAAGTTTGCTAAAATTCGCATATGCTATCCAAATTTTTTCCGTCGACATCTTAACTTGAGAATTAATTTTTCTAGTTTCATGTCAGTCAAAGTGTTAAAGTTACAGAACTCGCAATTATTATTTGTTTGCAATTTATGTTGAACTTGATTAACACGACGGTACGAATATATTTCCTAATTTAAAGAAAAATCTGGTCTTACTGTCCCATTTTTAAGGCTTGAAGTTATTCACTGTGCACAGAATGCAACAAATCTTAGATTAAGAATCATTAAAAGTGCTTTAAATTGACATAATATGTAGGGAAAGTTAATAAAATACGTGCTTGTTTTATATTTCACAAAAATCTTTCCAACTGAAATTGAAAAGATATAGTAAGATATACTTCTATTTACAAGTATAGTTTATAGAATTAAAGTAAGTTAAAACTTGTAATATTTGTCGGGCTTTTCAAGACTTTTGTATCTACATAGTTCATTTCTCCTGGAATTATCTTATTAAGGAACGTTCCAACAATTAACACCTTGATGTACGATAATTTTTCAAACGTATACTATTCAATTTTATTTAAATTTGTTCGTACAAGGAATGGCCACGAAAAAGAATATATTAAACGTAAAAAAAGGTTAATTTTAATATATAAGACTTGATTTGAAACTTGACATGATTGTGAAACTTAACATTAAAAACTTGTAACAAGTCTGACTCGTCATTGTACAACAAGGGGTTAAAATCCACCTTAGCGGTTGATTTAGAACACAAAAACAACGAAAAAGTTCATATTGATAAGTTTTACTTTTAGTTACTACGGTTTTAGATAATAAATTGACAGTTTTAGTTTTGGCACGTGTTTACTTCGCAGACTTCTTATCATAGATTGGGTCATTCATAACGCTCGCACACATTCATACTTGTATACATGATCGTTGGTAGAGTAATTAAGGATATTACCGAATTACAGATGCTGGCGACGTCCATGTACATTCTTTACATATAAAACGTACACTCTGTTTGACACTTTGTACTCCAACAACGAACAGTTGTCTTCTCAGGAGTGCTGGAAATGAGCATATTCCTCGCAAATTCTAGCACGTGGACGTTGTATAACAGGTTTTCTCAATCTTTCAAATGTTCTAAGTACTTTACCGGAATCGTTGGTAGCCTTCTTGTATACGTTGTCGATGTATGCCAACATTGGCGATGAATGTTAAATAACCAAACGAATTTAATTGGGGAAGGAGCACGCGCGCAATAGAACTGCATAGAACTTATTTCAATAGTTTATTTGATTAAACAAGACATCAGCATATAATTGACCTGTTAATCTTTCGTCAAGAAAACGAAAAAATTATTCTGCATTCAATGCAAATAGTTCGACAAAATCAATTGTGCAGAATTCAATTTGTCATGTATGGAGTTCAAAAATAACAGTATACTGGGTATTATGTTTAAGAGCGAAAGGTGGAATTCATGGTCTGATATAGAAAAGGACACGTATCTAACTTTCTTCCAGGATACGGATATTTCGTCCACAATTCTCTTAGTGTGTGCGTTTGTTTTCTTTTCCGTTTTTTTCAGTTAAAGAAACAGATATCGGTGAATGGCAATAATGCTTCTTAGGGCAATTGATTCGATTCTCGTCATCGACTGCAACAGGTGTTAGAAAGTTGCGTGAAAGTCTGATTCGGTTACAGGTAACGGGGCACAAGAGTCGTTAAATACGAAAAAAGGCCATTATTAATTTTTTTCTCGACTGCGTGTCGCGTTATGTACGTTCTGGGAATCGTTTTGGTCACATTGCCTCTGAGTACTTTTGTTAAACAAGAGAATCATGGTCTATCGAGTTCAGTACATTTTTAATAAAATTTTTCTCCCATTTGACATTATCGTGTAGATTCTCAAAAATAAATTATCCATACTCAGATTGGAAAAAATAAGGAATTTGAAAGCTTCTTTATTGCCGTTATTTTAAATTATTATTCTTCAAGCGAAAGACTACTGTAGATAATTCTAACTTTTTGCACAGTAATTCTTCTCTTCTTGCAAATTCTTTTCTTTTTCTTTTTTAAATAGAACTACACACATTTTCTCATTAGTCTTCATTGTTATTCTTCTTACTAACAAAAGAAATATAAATATTTTACGAAATACTATTTGAAAATTAAACACGTTTAAACTGCAAGTTTTGGAAATCATCGAATGAATTTTTAAACAGATTTTCACTGTTGCGCGCAATCAAAAATGCGATTACATGCATCAGCGGATATGAATCTTAAGTAGAATGTATTTTGGCAATGTTCGTGTTATAAATTCAGTTTGGAACATTTTCAAAAAGAGTATTATTACGTCCAAGTAACCTTGGCATTTAACATTCATGTTGCATACTACTTTCTTTTTAAACAAACTAGAATTTATATTACACGTTCGAATATATTCGAGTGTCTAATTAAAATTGATAAATATCGTGCCATGATTTCAACAACTTGAAATATATTTCCTATCTTATTTCAAAATGAATATTTATGAGTATCTCACTAATAATTGGACTTTTTATTATGTTACAGGTGACAGTGTAGAGATGCTGCTGGAGTACAGTACCAAGCTTCTAGAGCTTTTCCAATACTCTTGGGAAATGCTACCCCTTATGTATGTCATTTTGAAGGATGCAGGAGCTAATCTCGAAGAGGCTGTGAGACGCATAATGGAAGGTAAAGTGCCATTTATAACTTCTTGTTCATGAACTTGGCAATTTGGTGTTTTTATCACAGGCGTATTAATAGTGCTTCATTTTGCATATGCTCATGTTGCAATGTATACATATACAGGGTGTTTGGCTACCTCTCGGAAAAATTTTAATGAGAGATTCTAGGGAAAATCTCTAGACGAAAATTTCTAGTCGAAAATCAAGAATACCAATTTGTTGATCGAGGCTTCGTTAAAAAGTTATTAACGTTTAAAACTCTTTTCGCGCGGAACGTCGTGGCAGGTTAGTGCTAATGGTTCTCATGCAGCATAAAAAATTCTACTTACCGACATTATCGTCAGTCTTATTGTTAGATTTTTGTGTCCAGTCATGGGAACGTAAACACTTTACGTTGAATAAGATTCAACCTGTCTTATGAAAATTCAAAAAAAAAAGCATATCAAAACTCTCTCGGCAAGATTTTCACAGAGAGAGCGTGAAATTCATCTATTTTTGGGGTAAAGAAGATAAAACCAAAAGAATTTTGAGAATTTTCAAAATCAGATTCTAAATTACGTTCTTCGTGAAATAGAAGTTATGGACAAACATATTCGTTTGATGATATTCAACGAAATAACCTTATAAATAAGAAATCTTCTCAAGCTGCATTGTTTTGTTTATTAAAAAGTTTGAATGAGAATAGTAAAAATTTGTTATTAGCTTCTAAATAAGAGACTATGTGAATTTTCAATACGAAATAAAAGTCTTGAGTTAGGTTCATTATATCACTATACAAGAACAGAAAACTGTTAGGTTGTCGATACGTCAGTAAGTAGTTTCTCATGCTGAATGAAAGCTACTTTCACAGGCGGAACTTTGAACGTTAATAATGTTTTAACGAAGCCTCAATAAGCAAATTGCTACTCTTGATTTTCGTCTTTTATTGGCCTCTAGAATATCCCATTAAAATTTTCCCCAGAGGTGGCAGAACACCCTGTATATGTATAAAATCATAACAAATTTTGACCTTTAAAATAATAATCAAGTTTTGTTACAGAATACGCCTATGATAGTCACGGCAAAATCTATTTTTACACTCTGTGCTTACTTCATCAATATTGTTGCGCCGGGGTGAGTGGTCATTGTAAAACTTATTTTCACACATTAACCCAATAACACGATAACTCAATAACTCAACACAAAACTAAAACTGAGAACTGGTGACGGGAAACTTTATTTACAGAACTTTTATGATACGTCTTGTCTCTACGAGGTCTCTCGTAGTTCTAATCTTTCAAATGGTTGCCGGTTTCTCCGTCGCAACAATATTATAGTTTTATTTCATATTTCTTAACCTTTTCGCTACTGGCGGGTTCTCCGCCGCGGTACTCCCACTGAACGGGCCGCCGCACCAAAAATGTGCACGGTGCTCGAGTAAGATCGTCAGCGACCGCGTTTACGCTTCACTACAACCCGAGTTGGTTTGACGGTGTTCATTGAAAAAAAAAAAATTTTAATGATAAAAACAAAATGTTGATGTTACATACCATGAAAAGATACTCGATGTGAAATAACTCCAATCGCTGGTCATATATCCAATACACAGCATCTTATGCAGAGTGACTAAAATCGCCTGTCGTGTGTCAATTGTATTTTATGACGTGTGACTATAGTTACCCGTAGTACGTCAGTGGCATTTTATGCAGTCACCCGTAGTAGCGAAAGGCTTAAGCCGAAAAAAAAATTTTTTTTCTCTAGCTTCAATAGCTTATCGCCCGAATAGTTCTTGGGATTCCATTTTGGAGAGGATTCTTTCGTTCATTATACAATTACTACCAACTTGAAAAGTCGTAAAATTTTTACAATTTCGAGAGCTCTTTTCAAGCGAATTTCTATTGTTTTTCGTATACAATTGAATCATATTTCAATTGAATTATATTTTGTCAATGAAATTGACAATTTAATTATATTCCTGATCGCAATTGAGTTATACTTTAGTGAATAAAATTCCTTTGCGAATGCGCCGGACAGAAATAACAAATTCCGTTTCATTGGATTTGGAGAAGCGACAAAGATATATTTGATTTTGGCAATTCAACGGTTGGAAGATACTTTTTCCCCCTCGAAAGCACCGGAAAACAACGTGGATATCGCAGCGCGACGAAATTGGCAACACAGTCGGATTACTTAAACATCGCGTTACATCACTTTCGTCTTTCGTGTTTGTTATACAAATTTCACGGGACATTTCGCGCGCTTAACTCCTTAATGCTCGGATATTTTGAGTAATACGAACAGTAGCGTAACTAGGAAGTGTAGCAGTCACGGTACGGCAGAAACAAAATATACTTTTTGGAATAAAATCTAAATTGCGTCCGAGTTAATTTTATTTACATTTTCTAATAACGATCTGAAACAAATTGCAAAAATTTACAAGAACAATTTTTATAGGTGGACTTAACAATAAACATTTTCTTTTTCATAAAAATATTATAAGATAATTAAAATCTAAGTTCTGACAGAGTTTTCGAACAGAAAAGTTAACCATTTATTTCAATTTGTGTCTATTTAATTACAAGCTAGACTTTGTAGAAAAGTTCTATTGAATCATATTTTTATTTATAATTACTGCGCAGCTGTAACTAATGAATAACAGATACAATCTAGACAAATATAACAGTTAGTAAACGTTTTATCTATTGTTGATAAGATTATAAAAACTATTTATTTATTCTTGATTGTTAGGTATAAGATTTGCTGACAATATAGAAAAGAAAGAATTTGAACTATACAATTTTTAGCGTACATCAAACACGTTATTGTAGAATTTTCTTTGTAATTCAATCAATCAGACCCCATCATTCTGTACGTATGCACATCATTAGTTACAGCAAAGTTTGAAGTAATTTTTCATTTCGCGATTACAAAGTTAACGATAAGATTAATTGCGTAGTGCCTGATTAATGATCGATCCTAGCAAGTAATTAATGTTCTTTTCCTCGATGATGTTATTAATTAATCATGAACGCAATAAAAGAATGATTAGTTACTGTCGAGCTCCGTTTCAGAATTGCTTAATTGATTTGAGCATTATCATTCTCGCGTTAATCTTTACTTTGTGAACTATTTCGTTGTTGATGGAACGTTGCATAAAATTGTACGCGAATTACAAATCGTTACACCAAAGAAATGTCATCCTCGACTTGTCCGCGTTTTGACAAGATTCTCATTGGAATCCTTCGATTCGTTACAATTTCGTTGCGTCTGCGATCTTCCATTTAAATCGTGAAAAAAAAGAAACGCTAATTTTCGCTGGTTGCGATCTAACTACGCGATCGTCGTGCTCGAAGATCCCCCAGGCATCTTGGTCTCATCACTCGAAGATTAATTCGCTGATCCCCGTATGCGTCATCGTCAGGAAGATGATCAACGTTTCAAGAAAGTGGAAAGAATGGAACGCGTTGTTGCGTTCCCGTTGCTTTCGCAAAAGTTATCGTTCAAATTCGACGCAAGAATGATTCCTTTAGAAAGTGACGCGCGAACGAAGTGTCTTTGTTCGTAGAAAGCAATGCTTTCTATGCAATTGTGTCGGCAAGGATCGCGGGTGTCTCGTAAGTTGTGCACTGTTGGGTTTTCTCCACTCGAAGACACGTCCTAATTCGCGGTTCGGTTGGATGGGATCTGCGGCGAATATCAAGGTAGGATCTGTTGCTCTATTTTTGCGATTAGCTTACGCCGATGACAGCGAAAAATGATGGAAAAAGGGAACGCGTAGCCGGAGAAAGTACAATATTTGATCGACGCGAATGGTAAATCATCGATGTGTTCTGTTCGCGCGGGTGAATGCAATCTTATGGAATCATTTTATTTTATTTGTAGCCGCGTAAGAACATCGATAATGTTTCATATTGCCTAACGAGGCTTGTCCGATGTTCTTTGACTCCTTTTTTAGGGCTTTCGTAAACAATAAGATTAGCAAGATCGTTGGCTATCAATTGTTCTATCAGTAAACAAATTTTAAAGTTGTTTGAGATTTCAAACTTCAAAAGTTAGTATTTTATGACTGAATACAACATTGTGGCGTTGCTTTGCTGAGGGTAGGAACTCGTGAGAATATCGTAGGAGGCGTGAAATGCAAATGAGGAGTCGGTCGAGCGCTTGTGAGAGCGCGATCCCTCTGGCGGCGAGCATGGGAGGCAACGCCACAACATTATTTTCGTATCGCCAGTATCGCCGATACTTTATATTTACAGGAAAAAGAACCCCGAATTTATCGGTATATTCAATGCTTCGCCAATTAGTGTAATAAAAGAAGTGAAAGATTACGTTTAGTCTGACAATATTAATTCGTAACTATCTACACTTTGCACGTAAACGTAATTGAAATTTATGGAAATTTAGTTTCAATAAAACTAAACTATAATATAGTAAATAAATAAACTATAAATGTAAAATGGTTATGGGCAATGTTTTCTATCAGTCGCGTCGAGAAGAAAAAATAATATCAAACATTATTTCATTACAATAGATATATTTTTGTTTGCTTGAAACTCGAGCTCACGCATACATATGTCTTCCTTCGACAGAAGGACCACTTGAAAACACGTATAAACAAGTAAAGAAGACAGTATGTGTTTTCTCGTTTCTGTCTGTCTTGCTCGCTATAGTTGAAATTAGTCAATTGTGTGTACACAATTATCTCCGTCGCAATAGCGAGACTTGGTTCGTGTCTCGAAGAAAGTGACGAGTCAACAGTGACTCCGGCACAGTACTCTAAGGGTTAAAAAGTAATATTGCAGAGTTACGATCGAAAGCTGCCTCATGTACCAATGACATGGACAAAATTGAGCTATTGTACATTGCAAAGCAATGTAAAGCATCATGTTACATATGCAATAGATTACAAAATTAAAAAATATTACAGTTTTGAGACTTCCTCTATTGTGAATTAAACCTGATTGAAATGATGTGTAAGTAAAAAATGTAGCAGAAAAAAAGGTTACATTTAAATTTCGTGAAGAATAT